GGAGGGGTTGGCAAAATAAATCCTGGTGGAGTTAAAGACAAAGAGATATGTTTGGTCCTGAACCCCTTGAGAGAAAGTTCATGAAATATTGCTGTGCTGAGACAAATAAAGCTGGAGGTACACACCTGGTGCTACCTAAGGTTTCAGTTTAAGATGTTTTCTATAACTTGAACTGCAGCAAAGCACAGAGCAGCAAGTCAACATCAGCAAATGTAAGTTGTTTTTACCTTTTCTGTGGAGCAGATGTGTAGCGGGGAATGGCAAAAGGAGAGTGGTGTGGAGATGTGGTGAACTCACTGGGATGTGGTGAACTCATCTCTCTATCAGGAGCTGTGCTTCCCAACCTGCAGGGCTTGGGATGTCTTTTAAGTCTCATTCCTTTTGCCAGATGATCCCAAAAGGTTGTGCTGGGATGATGCTGGGTCTGGGATGCTAAGGGAATATCCTGAACACTGCTCCATTAGCAGTGTGGGTGATGAGAAAGATTTGAGGGCAAGAAAATAAAGTGACCCAGGCCCAGTTCTAAAACTACAGCATGTCCATGCAGAGATCAGGTCTTACTTTAACACATTTAAAAACATTCCTACAGTCATCTCGCCTGATGACATCTTATATCTAAAGGCTGTGTGGTGTGAAAGATATTTTTAGAAGACCTGAAATGAAAGACTTTTAGGTAGTGGGGCTCCAGTGTTTTTAAGCATTGTTGCCCATAAGGAACACACACAAGAAGCTAGCTAGGACTCAACATCTCTCCCTTTGGTAGGTGAAGGGCAAGACTTGGATGGCACTGCTGAGTTTTGAGTGACCTGAGCTCTGTAACTGTAACTTCAGTCATTTATGGACAATTTGTGGTAGATGAACACTGCCATCACGCCTTTACCCATGGGGCACTTTCCAATGTCCCATTCAAATCAGGATTGTAGATAGCAGATGTGTTCTGTCAATCAGTCAAATGTATATATACATCAGTTCAGGTTTGGTAAAAAGCCTGTATGCCTATACTGTGATGGTCCAAAAATCAGTTTTTCAAGTTAATGGTGAGACTCAATGATCTTGAAGGTATTTTCCAACCTTAGTGATTCTATGACTCTATTCTATTTATTACAGTGAGGATTTCTTTTGCAAAATGGATTTTGTAAATCTCGTAGATGCAGTGAAACTTAAAACTATTATATATTTGTGATATGGTCTCTCAGACAAATAGTCAAATGTATTTAATATGCAGTTTCACAGCTGTAGGCTGTCTGGGATAAATCCTAAGGATCTGTTTGATTCTTGTGCACCCTTTCTTGTTACATCTCCTGGTACTGCTCTGGACTCAAGTTTAACCACTGCTGAGCATGCCTTGCAAACAAAACTGTGGAACAAGCAGACCTGAAGATATGTCTCCAGAACAAACCACTCTTCTGAACTGTGGGTCACTATGGAATGTAGATTTTGTAGGGAATTTGGAAAATAACCCATAAGTATCTCTGAGGAGCCATTTCCTGGTCCTTCTTGCCATTTCCCAGGTCTGTGGGTATGTACACCGTGCTAAGTGGGGCACTTCTGAGTGGTTGCTTGAATATCTGCTGTTGATACCTTGTGGGAATAGGAATTGTCAGATATCTATCCTTTCCCATTCTTTCCCTCAGTGGAATTGGCTTCTCTGTGACTTACTTTGCTGGATGGAGATTTCATTGTCCCTTAAATGTTGCATGAAAAACCCCCACCCACCTCCTCTAATGTACCTGACATGACAAGCTGTGATGGGGAGGGGGAGCACAGGTCACTACCGGAAACAAAATCAAGTTTTCTATAGTTTTTAGTAGTGCTTTTGGGCAAAGGTCTGATCTTGATGGTCATCAGTGTAAACTGTGCACATTTGTGGGTGTATGAGATCAGACAAAATAGGATGTGAAACTGTTGTCTGTAGATACACTCCATAGGAATAACTCCAAGATGGAGAGATTTCACCTCCATCTGTAAACAAGAAGTATTCAAGCAGCAATATGGCCTGGTTGACTTCTCATCTACTTGTTCAGCTACAAACTCAGTGACACAGGCTGTGCTGAGCTCACAGCTGTTGCAGTTACACAGTTCTCAGCACCAGTTTAAAAATAACTGGATTGCACCCATGTCAACCACAGTCCCGGCAGTAACAGCAAGGGTAGGACACCATTCACATTTAAGCATCATCCCCTCTGCAGAGCCCTGTGAAAGATACTGTTTGTAACCAACCAGTGAGAATGAGAGGACTCCACCTAGTTATTTCTCCCCATGCAGAAGGAACAAAGAGTTTATTTTCCAGCTGGTAGTCTTGCAATTGCAGGCAGGCATCCAGTTATCAAGCTGGGCTCTTCCTGTCACTTACTCTGTTGGCAAACAAAGCCCTGCATGTCGGATAGGATCTCAGTTTTTTATAACTGTGCTGTTCCCGTGATTTCTCTGGATATCTCCAGGTAGTTTAAGCACTGAACTGTGTGTTTCAGACTGGAGAGTGAGGACCTTGAAGAGGAACAGCATAAGAATATGAGCTGGCTAGCTTTCTGATGGTGTTTGAGAAGTTTCTGAGTAGCTCTGTAGGGCTAGTCTACCTCTGCTGACAGAAGACCAACCTCAAAAGGTTTGAGAGAGCCTCTGGGATGAGGCTAATGCCATCCCTGATGTCTGCCATCAGATATTACCATTCCCCCACCAGCCAGCTCAGACAGATGAGACACAGTTGGGTTCACACAATCTCCCACTTCAGCTGCATGAATTGTTTGTTCCTCTGCATTGGACTCTGGCATAGGCTGTGCCTATCACTGCATCCATGGAAAATGCAGGAAATCCCTCATGAAGTAGAGTTTCCACCTCGTGTCTTCCCAACAAACATATTTCCCTAACTCGATGTCCTCCTTTACAGGCATTTAAGTTCAAGAATAGCTCTGCCTGAGGTTTTGCAAGAGTTTGCCAAACACAAGAGCCAAGATGTGCTGGCTGTTTTCAAGCAGCACTTGGAGTGAGCTGTGATCAAAACCAAATTCCCTCCTCTTCAGTGCAATTTCTGGCCCTGTATCAATGAGCTCCCCATCTCCCTAGTATGCATTTGTAAAAGAGCCCCAGTGAGAGAACACTAGGGGCAAGCATTTGCCTTATAGCAAAGCCCTGCAGTGCTTCTGCACAAGAAACAAGAGCTTCCAAGGGACTGCAAGCAGTTGGTGTGTTTGGGTTGACTGGCCGTGGTTTCCCACTGCTGGGGGTTTCCAAAGCAAATGAAATGTTATTCATCAAAGTGGGCTCCCTCCCCAACTTTTGGTTTTTGAAAATACTACAAAGTAAGATGGAAAGAAACATGTAATCCTTCATTATCACAGTGAGGATTTACTTGTTTATTTAGATTCCCCGTCTGTTCCAAATGTTCTGCCAGAGAAAGCCCATCCAGAGTCCAGGAGTGCTTGACACACATTAAAAAAATTTCTAGATGTATTTAGAAGATCAGTCCATCAGAAGACACTGCCTTCCCTCACAGTACACAAGTGCAGCAACCACATGGAAGTCTCACATGCAGAATAAAATATCTCAGGATGCTTTCCAGAGAAAATAGAAAGGAAGGAGGCACACGACCCTGGGCAGAAATAGATTTCATTGTGGCTCCCCTAAATCAGGAAGTTTTTGCTGGGACTGTCCTTGAGCTCCAGGTACCTCCTCTTTTTCTGCCTAGAAAATGTGTTTCAGTAGAAAAAGTGGAACTTGGTGCCTTTGTGGTCAGTAAAAGGAGAGGGTTGTGTTCCGAGAGTGTTTCCTCCCTCTGCCCTAGGAGGTGGAGGTCAACTTCTTGAAGGTTATCTCTCTCTGCAGATAATACAAGGGAAACAGAGAGAGAGGAGCCCAGACCTGTCTCACTTTTAGCTGCTTAAGAGCACTAGCTGAATCCCATTCCAGTACATTGTGTATAAGGAACTTAACTCCCTTGCATTGAAACTACTCAGCAACCTTTGTAGCTGGTGTTTCTCATTCCTGTTGCTGCCCCTACAAAAATGAAACAAGTGACAAACAAGAGACCATAAACATGGCAATCACATATAGCTGAGATGAGATAGACCTTTTGGGTCATCCTAGGATGAGGTAGCAGAAGATGAACAATTGTCCAACAGATGTTTTGCATTTGGATCATCATCCAAGCCAGTGGATTTGAAAATGTCCTGTGAGCTACTCTTCTAGTGATGCATTGGAGGCAGCACCTTTGAAACTGTCTCTCTTTTTCATTTCCTGGCTAAGAGCCACCAGCATGAGTGAACATCAAGAGCCTGATGTCCCTACTGGGGGCAATATTGCAGTAAACTGGTATAGGGTAGAGTGGGAGAGGGCAGTTTTCAGCCAATGATCCCCCCTAAATAATCCCCTCTTTTAAAGTTATGGGATCTTGAATGCTCCTATAAATTGCTGAGATTTTACCCTTCAGGATTTTGTCTTAAAGAAGCTCATATAATGAGATATTTGAGACACCTCTGTTCTTGAAAAGGAAAATAATCAGTTCTCTCTTTTGCAGGTGCTGTCTTTATTTCACATGTTGACATAAAGAGGAAGGGCAGACTCTCATTAGAATCTGGGGTTTCTGAAGGAGTGCTAAGCTAAATCAAATCTAGAGCTTTCCAAAAGTGACACCCCTTGGCCTGAACTCCAGTTTCATACCAGAAATAGGGCAGCCTTCCTCCATAAATTCAATGTAGCCTCAGTGGGCTGGATAGGTCTGCCAAAACAGTTCATAAAAGTAATTGTGAATCACTAGTATAATTAAGATCTGCAATTTTGAGTCTTATCTCAGTACAGAAGTGAAAGAGAGGATCTTACCAAAAAAAGGTATAAAAAAGCATAAGAGTTCCAGAAAAAAAAAAAAAAAAAGAAGACATTCTGCTTTTGAAAAGTTGTGAAGTGTTTCAAGGAATACCTGAATTTGATAAGTTTTGTGTAACTTGCTTTGGTGAGTTTTTGTGTAGAGCTCACCTGTTGCTGTCTCCCTTCTGCTGTCCCCTCAGCTCATGTGCTCCTCGGTGCAGAAAGCCCTGTTTGAGGAGGAGGACAGAGTGAAGAAGCTGCAGCAGAAAGTGGCGACACTGGAGAAGCGCAACAAGCAGCTGCGAGACCGAGTGAAGAAAGTGAAGAGGTCCCTCCGGCAAGCCAGGAAAAACACCAGGCACATGGAACTGGTGAACCGAAAGCTCAGTGAGAAACTTTCCTCTGCAGGTGGCCAAATCCCCTACATTAACTCTTTGAAGCAGGAGAACTCCCATGCTACCTACCTGAAAGTATAATGCAAGGGTAAGTGCTCAGGCCAAGGATAGTGGTGAACTTTGCCTGCATTAGATCAGCATCTGGCCCTCACACCTTGTCTATGCTGTGCTTTTCAAACCTTGCATGGAAAATGAATCTGAACTTGCTTTAGACACAGGATTAAACAGGAATGCCAACCGGATTTGGCACAGCCCAAAACTGAGTCCTCGCTGTCCTCAGTGGACACAGGGCCAGACAGTCATCTGTGCTTCTCCTTCCTTACCCGCCTCCACCTCCACCACCAGTTTTAGGTTGTCTTTGAGGGAAGTGCCAGCCCAGCCCCATGGGCCACTGCAGGCACTTGACACAGGAGCTCTTCTTGCCAGCTTACCTCCTCCACATGGGCTGGGCAAGGCAGGCCTGGGGATGTAGACGTGGATGCTGTGGGAAGGATGGAGGCATGAATGCTCTTTGCTCCATCATCATGTCCAAGCTCTCAACCTTGCTTAAGCTTGACTTAAGTCTACATCCACTGTCTGGGCAAAGGCTATGTCTGAGACACAGTCAGTTTAGGCCTCTCTTCAACATGAAGTATAGATGTACCCAAATTGTCTTAAGACTGTTTCTATATAACTCTAAATATTCTAAAGAAAATATCTAATAATTTTAATTTTACCAAGAAGTGCCTCAAGGCTCTTAGTAACTCCCTCAGGTGCCTTTATCATTGGTCAACCACCCTGTTTGGAAACCAAATAATTTTGGGACTGTGTCTAGGTCCTAATCCAGCTCCTGCAGTCAGAAGTGGACTTAGCCTGTCTTAGTGGGTGTTGGATCAGGCCCAGCAGACAATTTCAGATCCCATTTTCAAGCAGGTTTAATTTACAGTGTGGATAAGTTTTGTAGTCACTGTTTGAGGTATAATGGAGGTTGCTGGGCAGCCTCACTTAGTTACACTTAGAGACTGTAGAGACCACATCAATATCAACAGGGCATTAAAAATTTAGGTAGTTTCTATATGTATATATTTTAAAATCCTATAGAAAATATTTTTATTACACATTTGATATAGTCTAATTTCTTAAAATATGAAGTAAAACCTGTTCCTTGGTTATCTTGTAAAAAAAAATAATCCATCATATCCTTTAGCAGACATTTACACACTGAATTCTGCTCAAGCAGTGTAGGTTAAGGCATCAGTATCTGTGGCTGGTAATGTTTTCAGCTGTGTTAATGAACCATGTTTTGGGTCTTGGTACTCACCCAACCTTCCTTCGTGACAAGGCACCATAGGGAGAGAAAGGTAGAAGAGCTTTTCTGTTTTATTTCCTTTCTCAAAATAGTTTTTCTTACTCTGAGCATGAGACCCAAGTGCAGATTTGGTTCATGCTTTTTGACAGGGGCAGATGGTCCTTGCCCAGCCCTGGGCAACACTCACAGTCTGCCAGGGCTAAACCCAGTTTGTGCAAGATGAACTGGTCCTGGTCCAGATGATCTTTAATACAGAGGTGAGACCTTCAGAAATAGCGCTATGGAAACCACTGCTCTGCTCCCAGTGCTCCACAATTTACCAGATCCCTGCATGGTCTCCATGCTGTGTCTCAGCACTCAAAATTAGAGTATACCCAGGCTACAGCCCTGCTGGACCACACTTTAACTATTCCTGTGCTTGGAAAAGCCCATATCAGCTTTCAAACGTGAGCTTTAGGCCAAGATGAACTCAGAAATTGAGTCTCATTACCCTCCAGTTTGGCTCCTTTTGGAAATACAGCTTTTTTTTTTTTCCTCGTCTTGAAATAATATTGGCATTTCTTATGATTCTGACTCCTCCACGAGCTCCACTGGTTTCAAAGGCTTCTCCTACCACATCAGCACAATTTGAGTTGTTTTATGCTGTAGTCAGCAATGCTGTTTCCTGAGAATTGCTACAGAACTAAGGCTTCCCTAGAAGCCATCAGGAGTTTTAAATCCCAAAATTTAAATCCATAGAAAAGTAACTACTTTTTTATTGGTTTGTTTCTGGTTTCTGAACTGCTGTTTAAATAAATGAACTGATTTTCCTGGGATAGGTATTAAAAGCTTGTGCTTTAATTTTTTGTTAAGAAAAATATTCGCTCTGGTATTCATTCATGTATTATAAATGTTTGTATAAAGCTGAGAAAGTATAATTAATATGGCTACACCTTTGCTATGCTTACAGATTTTCCAAACACAGTGTTGAGTATCTTTTCCTTTTGGCTGGTATTTTTGTCACTTGATGAAAAGATTGCAATTTTCTTCCTATTTCCCGCTCTGTTTAGCTTAAAAAAAAAGTAAAACATTTTGTTCTCCTCGTCGATTTTGTGAGAATTTTGTTACTTTGCAAAGAAAACAAAACCAACCCCTCCCAAATGCAAAGCCCAAATGTAATCCAAAATGTCCTTACTGGGTACAAAATACGAAAATATTGTTTCCACGTGAGTTTTTTTCCTTTCATTCCTGCTTGTGTTTGGATCATTTCCAGAGATAAGGAGTAGCAGTCAGATCAGATCACAAGTTAACCCGCTGGACAAGTAACAGGGGATGTCAAGCCCAAATGAAAATGCTATTAAAGTGTCACCATTGATTGCCTGTCCCTGCTGGTGACAGTATCCAGAGAGTGACCAGGGAGGCTGTACATGCAGGAAACACAAGTGGGATGAGGAATTTGGATTATGTCTGTCCAGGTTGGTACACATCACACAGAGCTTGACACATACTGTAATTTTTAGACCCAATCTATAGCAACTTCAGAGATCAGCTAATCTGGAAGCCTGTAAAAAGGGTGAAAATTTCATACCATTTCCAAAGTTAACGTAAAAGACATGTCTGAGTATGTTCCTCTTGAAGAGTTATGAAGGAGAGACTGAGGTGCTGAAATGCAAAGGAGGTTGGCATAGCTAGATGGGTTGGCAAGGGGTGGTGCAGAAACTCAAAAACATCCCGGTAAAAAGTAAAGAGACAACTCCCCCCTCCACCACTTGGTTAGAAACAAGACCAAAAGTTTCAGCCCCCCATGAGAAGTTCAAAGATGCTTTACAAATTAATAACATCTGCTTTTGCAAAACATATCAGGAGCTTGAAGGCTGCCAGAACATCTGCAGGGCCAGTGCTAGGGGTTTTCAGAGCAGATGAAGCCAGAATTGAAGACAAGGATGGGATTTTCGGCATCTGTGTTACCCATGGAGGAATTTAGGGATGCTTTTGTGGACAAATCAATTTTTTCTGATGGATCCAGAGGATGATAAGAACTGAAAGCAAAATTAATTGTAACAGGACAGAGCAATAGTGACAAGGACAGAGAGAAAAGAGGAGAGAGGAGAGGAGAGAGGAGAGGTTTGGAGAGGTTC